AACCAAACTGCCGATTTAGGTTTCTATCAAAGAATAACTTTTATATTTTTAAAACATAATTTTCATAAATATAACCCAGTGTGTTATTCATCTTGAAGGGTCAATGAACATGAGGGCAGCCTTCTTGCATGTATATATCTTTAACACAAAGGACATGCATTATACCTCTCAAAAAATGCAATGGAAGACAATACCTTTGGTGTTTTAATGAGCTCCATGCTGCTGTCAACGCCAATTGATATCAATCATGAAAGTTTCGAGCCACCAATCACACACCAAACGTCATCAACAACTCCCATCTGTCAGCACTTCTTAACATAATCTAACTTTATCGGCTTCAGAAAAAATAGACTACGATCATATTTTACTTATTCCTTGTGCAAATTTTATGAATATGACATTTATATTCATGCCTTATCAAAAGAATATTTTTTTGTTCCATAAAGGTTGGTGATATTGAAGTAGTAATTACTAAGAAGTGTATAAACAGGCAGACGACGGATGTAAACAAAAGTCACCTGTGGTACTGCCCTTTAATACTGTGTGTAGGACAGGTGTACTGAAGGATATACTAATTTACTTTATGTATACAGTCTTCATCGTGTAAGCATGTTATGAATATTTAAGATATCTACACATCTTAAATACAAAACTAGTAAAATACCTACTTAATTTAATAGCATCCATTAATTCTCGGTAAAGGTTATGTACACTGTATATAAGCCGTTAGGATTTGTTCTCAAGTTCTTATATTGTTAACAACTGTTCTGATTAGAAAATACTGACCGTGCATGCAAGCTTCCGTTTTGTTGTGAGGGAAGAGCATTAGTTTCTCTTTTTATTAATTTGCTCTAAGATTTCCAATGAAACTAAAAGTTACATCGGTTTAGAATAACATTACTTCACTGCAATTATGTTAAGAATAAGATTACTGACAGTCAAATCATTGACACTCATTTATGTACATTGTCATGTTAGCTGGTCGAGGTGTGACTGGCAATGTGGATGTAGGAGAATAGTAATACACCGTTTTGTTATTGTTTCTGACCGTGTTAAAAGAAAATGAAGCCAGGAGGACGAGGTTCCTTACGGAGACTTTGTTTAATCAAAATAGGTAAAACTTTACGACATTTGCGTTCTTTAACCAGCAATTGAAAGAAATTTTTCCATAAATAGAATATAAGTGCTTTATTACCGTACTTAAGGCCCCAAAATAGGAAGGAATAACTTTCGTAGTATTTTTACTTTTACTTTTATCCTCTTCGCCACTGATCGGCTTGTTAGCCGCTACAGTACATACACAATGAATATTAAACGGGTTTTTTGGATGACTGTATTTTATATGCAGATTATAATTATATAATATATAATCAAACAAACAACATATGCTATCAGTGACATGGCAAGATTTAGGACCAGGAGCGACGGTGTCACCCTCCGTCTCCCTGATACTTTTATCCTCTTCGCCACTGATCGGCTTGTTAGCCGCTTGGGCGATCGGTCACGTCTCTGATTACTTTTCCTTTTCATTTATCCTCTTCACCAAAAGATCGGCTCGCTAGCCGCCCGGGCGATCGGTCACGTCTCTGTCACGCACTGTTGGCAAATACTGGGCATGCACCGGCTTCTAAATGTACCTGAACCCGCTCCAGTGTTGGTCAAGTCTTGTCTTGAAAGAGCTCACACTCGGTGCCGTCACAACACTCTCTGGTAGATTGTTCCAAGAGTTTACAACCCTCACTCCGAAAAAGTTTGCCCTCACAGTTTTCTGGACTTGCGGCTTCTTCAATCTTGAGCTGTGACCCCTTATGGGGCGAGCGTTCGCCAGCTCCAAGTAAGGACACTCAACTGAGTAGTGCCCCCTGAGATGCTTATACACCTCAACTAGGCCCCCCCCCCTTGCCCGTCTGTAGTATAAGCTAGGCAAGTTCAGGCGCTCCAATCTCTCAGGGTAGCTGAGGTGCCGAAGTGCAGGCACCAGTCTGGTGGCCCTCCTTTGAACATTTTCAACCAACTGACAGTCCCTAGCATATGTCGGGGACCAGATGGGGTGACAGTACTCCAGATGGGGAAGCACTTCACTCCTGAAGATCGTTACGAGGGACGGACCGTCTAGATATATGAACGACCTTCTTATAAGACCCAATAATTTATTTGCCTGATTCTGAAGTCTGATCTAGGGGACCCTCCCTCGTAAAAATATGAATTTATGAGAAGCAGTGTGCATTTTCATTTATCGTTGGTGCATAGCTAATTCACAATTTATCATTGGAAATTTTCCCATACCTCGATTTGGCGCCGCCCAAACATAAAACCAGAAGTGAGTGTCCCCACCCCCTGCCCCACTCCTAGCGATGCCACTATATGCAGTTAATAAATAAAGACACAATATGATCAGTATGAATAGTGAGGATAACAATTGCCACTACTCTGGCAAAGAGAGCTACACGATAGCCCAGCCTTAAAACACATGAAAGGGCCGAGGCACATCTTTTTGCAGCCGCAGTGAGTGAGTTCATGGCACACTTTCGACACCTCTGATAATGTTGTTCATTTAAGAGTCCACCCAAGCTCACACAGTTTCCACTCCCGATGTTTTGGATTTGAAAGTTTAGGTATTTTGATGGTTGTCTGTTCCCAGATATGTTCGGCTTGTAGGACTACAAGGCTTATGTGCTGTCGGAGAGCTGCTTGTGTTGGAGGATTTTATCCAATAAACGTGCATTCTTTGAGAACAGCACTTGCAGTGCTTCATTCACTCCACTGTAAGAACATGTACGATCGTAAAGCAGCACAACGTTCCAGCACAGCTAATGTAAGTCTTCAACTGGTTCCTCTGCAGCCTCAGGCATTGTTGGAATACAGGTGTTGTTGCTGGGTATGTTCGCTAGGTATCATATGCAGTCTTCTTGCTTCTTCCACAAAATTAAGAAAGAGTATCACATCCCGTTACTGCATGGAAAAATAATAAGGTATCACAGTTCTCCCGTCCGAGTGAGTGTGCAATCGCACGAGTACTGTACTGTAGGTATGTAGTGAAGATGCTTCCCAGTTCCGAATACAACCAGAGTTCTTCAACGTTGAGTCTATACTGTACACATTGGCCACACAAAGCTACAACATCAGACACATGGAGTAGTATTCTGGTATCTGCCTCCTAACGGGTACAGGGTGCTATGCCAGTCTTGCCAATAGGTACGGATGATACAACATTGTCATTTACTGTGCTGATGATTATTTTGTCACCTGCTACAACCTTTGCCGCATATTTTGACAGGATTGTGAATAAATCTGTCTTGTTTTCATTTAACCTTAGGAAACTCAGCCAGTTTCCTGGGAGTGTGGCATTAGTCAGGACCCGCTTACGCACACCACACCCCTGTTTCTCCTGCACCTTTTTTCAGACTCCTCTCTGGGTATGTGTCCCATACAATATCAACACGATCAACAGCTTCTAGCCTGGCTCTGATATATGCATCAGTGGTATATGGACCAAATGTTTTAGTTAGGCCTACGTCCTGGTGGCAATATGTGGACTAAAGTTGGCCCATCAATTATTACAACTTCGATATTTGGTGCGTCATTTGTAATTGATATATCATTCGCTGGAGTATTTCAGATTTCTGCCCAAGCCGTAGTTTTCCTGTAGCAGACAGTGCTGGGGCATTGGTGATTTTTATACTTGAAAATTTCACTCGGAAAGGTACATATGGACCATCCTGAATAAATAAGCCGTGTTGAAAACAATATATTAGATAAAATATTGTTCTGCTAACGTGAAAATAAAGCTAATTCTCGGTTTCCATGTTTATTTTCTATCAATCTGTTGAATGGCATGGTTACTAGATAGCACATGGCTAGTTGCAATTGAAAATGGCATACTTGGTTATGGGTACCAATCTCAAACGATTTAACATATATACATTTTTTTACAATACATACATAAAGTTTCATGCTTTTATCAATGTTATTGTTGTCTTAACCGCTCTACTACCCGAAGAAGTAAATGGGAGACGTCGTCAGCCAGTGTCAGTTCACTGCTAGATAAAGGCTTCCACAATCTACTGTGTTAAGCTCTTCTTGCTTATTGAGTACCCCTATATTCCATAATATCCTCTATCCATTCAGTAATTTTGGAGGGTGTTTTTCTATCACATGTAATCGATGAGGATTTGTATACGTTTGTTATCCATCTCCCAAGAGCCTCGCCCTTATCATCATCAAATGTCAAACCCTACCAGTCGACCTTTACCCCCCCCCCCCCTCCCATCGTCGCCTACACACTTCTGCCTGCTCTGGTACAGGATGTGGCCAGCTCATGCTAGTCTCCATCTCTCAGAATCTTCGCAGGAGACACCAGAAGACGAGGCTACCGGGGTCCTAGACCATTCCAATCCCGCGCAGTTTAGTGGTGGGTCAATACACATTTTGTACATCTACTAAAACATAATTACATCTACTAAAACATAATTAAAATCTAATACATTATAATACAACAAAGAAATAGCACTAGATGGAAATAAAACGACTATGCATTACATTCAGTATCAGTAAAAGTATATATAAAACTGTAACATCAACTGACAGCTCTTGTATGAAATTTTCTGTATCATACTGAAATTTAGTGACGTGGATTACTTCAGTTTAAACACGACCATCGGAGAGTACAAGCGTCTCATTGTACAATATCCTGCTCCTTGGTGACGGGTTTCATTTGCGATTATGTAATTTTCTTCTTAGAAAACATCAAGACGAGATCCACATGACAGCAGCGAGTGACGTCATACCCTTTACTCGCGCACACTTGTATCACGTATAGTAAGCGTGTTGTTTGATCTTAGGTTGAATTACTATATTGCATCAAACAGGTGCAACTTTTGTAAAAAAATATCACTTGGTTTTGTTAGATGTCTATAAATGTACATAAAGTTCTTTCATAATCTTTCTAATAATTCAAGTTAATGAATAGCAAATAAATAGGTTATGAAATTATGCATAAAGTAAATTAACACATTTTAATTAGTTACATATATATTATATATTAATTTAATATATATACATATATTAAAGAATGCATACTTTAAGTTTATATGGGTATTGTTTAAACATGTAAATTACATGTGTACACAATAGATATGTCAACCATGAGCAAGTGAGTGGTGATGGTGGGGGCGCCCCTCCTCCCAAACACACACACATCCTGGCCAGGCTATATTACTCACACTGGCCCTTTCTACACACACACACACGCGCGCGCGCACACACACACACATGCAAGGAAATAAGGTGAATTGGGGGGCCAGACGTTAACTAACTGGGAATTACAACTGTTTCTACAAGAAAGGCCTACAATATATGACCAGCCGTCTCAAGATTAGTAACAGTGTGTGGGTCTTGTCATAATACTGCCCTATACACTGTTGCTTCCTACATCTGGTTCTCCCTGAGTTTCTCGTGTGTTTACTCATAAACAATCACAAGGACATGAACGAGTATATGGTCTTATTATGATGCTAGCACTGCAGTACCTAATATCAGTTAAACCCAACAAAACACTACACAGTGGGAATGAGTGTGACAGTGTTCAGATGAGCCATATTTCAGCCGCTCTGGGTAGGTATCATTTCATGGCGAGGTAATGATCGTCCAACTTCTGTGCTTCTAGTGCTTCTACTTCCTCGTAGATGATGTCTTCGTGGGTGCAAGCCAGTACGTAGATGTTGGGTTCTGCGGCGATCGACTGGCAGACGTCGGGGTCCTGTTGCTGCTTCTGGCTGACGGAGGACAGGCGTCGGGACTTCTCTTGGCATGGAGTAAACGATGCAAACGAAGAGGAAGTCAGTCCTGAGTCTTGTCGAGTCAACTCCAAGTGTTGAGGTGTGTCATAAACGTGGTTCTCGGTCTCTTCCTGCTGTCTGTCCCGTGATATCAGGTCCGACAGCGTCAGCACCGACGGTTCTCCTCTAGTCATGCCCGGTTTTCGCCACATGATAGCTGTGCCAATAACTATGCCCGCAAAAATACCCACAGCAGTCATGATAATAACCCAGTACCATGAGAAGCCTACAAGACCCCTATCAGTTTTATCTGCATCTTCTCCAGGGGTTGACACGGCTTCTCCGTTCTTGGGTAAAATATCTGTACTGGCTGCCACTATTGTATATAACGGGTAGGCGATCTTCTGTGAGCTATTACTCGATAACTCTAGATTTGTGATGGTGTCGTTCCCAAGGGTGAAATTATTGATAACAACACTTGATGCTCCACTAAGGATGAGGCAGCTTTGAGGTCCTTGACCAATGTGAACGTTAGTCAGCGTAAGGCTCCCTCCTGCTTCGACGGTAATTGCGGCGGAGCCCACTTCATCCACTTTCAAGTTGGTGACAGAAACTCTCTCACTCACAACCCTCATTGCTCCAGTTTCCATCATGCTCACCTCCACATTGTTCAGGGAGTGAACGGCTTCGTTATTAAAATATATTCGCTTTCTTCTTCCAGATCTCTGATGAACTAGTCCAGGTGCGATGAGACGCTCTATTTGAACATCACGGAGCTGTAGTTGATTCTCTACTTCCAGCCTTGACAGCAGCCCAATTGAGGTTTTCTCAATGAGTATTTGACGTCCTGAGGCAGAAAAATTAGACACCTTTGAATTCTGAACGTTAAGTTGACCAAACTCACCGTCGAGGTCGTCCACCTCACTGAGCTTCAGACTAGTCAGATCAAATTTTCCTCGTAGCCAGTGGAGCTTCGACTGAACCACAAATACATTCCTCACACAATTTGCTCCGCGCTCTTCTACGCTGACACTGTAAGATACATGCTCTTTACTAGAGCTACTTGAAACCGTTTCCACAGAAGTAGAGAAATGCACTGTTTCACCTCGTGGAGGGCCACCACGACTAGCAGAGGCACCATGTTCAACCTTGTGCTCGTTAGAAATCCTTTTTCGGCGGAGTTCAGGCATCGCGTCCATAGCGCGTTGTGTGACGGTGCCCTGAAGTGTGACGTTGGTGGATGACCACACCTGGAGGTTGGTGCCGCAGGGAGGAATCCCGTGAAGGGTAGCTGCTGCCTCCACCTTCACTTCTCTCACGCCAGGCGATACCCTCACAACCTCCACGTCCTGCAACAAGATGAAAGCATCGGATATTATTTATTGATCTTCACCCTACAGCTGATGATCTCCTATATTGTCTTAAAAGTGGGGAAAATACTATTTTCTAACACACATACACACTAGCGCTTCCTCTATCTCCTGCTCCCACTTTCTGCACCTGCGTGTCTCCCCCTTTCTCTAAACAAGGGAATAATAAGTATTCTGTATATCACATACTAAACATATCCTTCACTTCACATTTGAACATTACATTATGTACGTACATTCCTCCGTCATTCCTTAACCCATTTCCCAATCTTCCCAACAACCCTGTCTCTTGTTCTAAGTTCAATGGCACAAGTTTTGACGTTTCTACTTCGTAGTGTCATTACTCCTGCTTTACTCCTTATCACTTGGTTATTTTGTGCATCTGTTGCTCATTCAGTTTATTCTTAACCCAAGGAGATACACCAAGAGACTAGCTCTTCAAAAGCATTTGATAACAATCAATGTAAACCAACAGAATTAAAAGCAAAATTGAAGTCGTGGAGAAAATTTATGTTTTAGACACACATACACACACACACACACACACAGAGGTAACTACATCATCAGGACCCTCGTAACACCATCTGTGAGGGAATTACTACACCACGTCAAGCTCCTCATAACACCACCTGTGAGGGAACTAGTACTCCACGTGATGCCCTCTGTGAGGGAGTTACTACACTACGTGTGTGCTGTTCAACACTTCAGCTTACATGATCTACGTGTGTAAACATTAATCTGTATGTTCACTGTATGTTCCTTCACCTTTCTCTAATGAAGGCTTTTGTTAAACCACCAATGTATGTAATAAGTCATTTGTGTCCAATGTATATTTTCAGCCTTCGGGCTGCAAACTTTTTCAATAAACCGTTTATTATTATTATTATTATTATTATTATTACACACACACACACACACACATATAAATATATATATATAAATATATATATATATATATATATATATATATATATATATATATATATATATATATATATATATCATCATTTATATATCTTCAGAGGCAACTGAAGATGTCTTGAATAAACTTTAGATACTAGATAGAAACTATATATATATATATATATATATATATATATATATATATATATATATATATATATATATATTATATATAAATAACTTTAGATACTAAACGATAAGAATTTCCTTTTCCTTCTCACTCAGCGGTGTAATGGACAAAGAGAAGCAATAATTAAAGGATCTTATCGGGATTTTAAAATTGGCACAATAATGCTCTTGGAGTGTTGTGGAGAGAAAATGAGACATTTATATTACAAGTATGTCTATAACTTTAAAAGTCAGTGCCGTTCCAACTTTGAAAACCTGACAAAAAAAAATAATAATAATTCAGGTGAGTTGGAGATGTTTACCTTCCTAACAAGGGTTGAAAGTTAACAAGGCATCAACTTTAGGCCTACAAAGGCACCATATTTTTTTGGTTTTTGTTTGACAGACAATTGTTTTAGTAATAATCTCGTGCCAATTTTAAATTCTAAATATGACCCCACAACATACAGGTCGCCTTACCTCACTCGTGTTTTTGAAGACACACTGCAGTCTGTGGCCCATTAGGGTGCAGAAGTTCGTTTCTTGATCAGCAGTAAGGACGGCCAACGCTGGGCCGAGTATTGCGCACACAGCCACTACCCATAACACTTTTCTTGTGTCCATTGTGTCTTGTTGGCTGCTTTTACTTTGGAAGCGTCACCGTCAACCAATACTGGAGTCCAACAGGATCGCACCACCAATCGTGACGAATGTTTCTTCTTGACTGAGTGTCTTATGTACAGACGAGCCACTCTTCGCCCGTATTACATTCGAGAGTTCTTTTAAAAATACACTTCCATAAATTTCCTTAATGTTATTAACACAAATGCGAGTTTTATTTCAGAGAATTTTTTTCACTATCAGCACAAAAGAAGGATTAAGTTTGTGGAGTGGAATACTCCAGTCCTATGCAGTATAGAGACAACTGTGATTGCTGGGCCGGGCTGGGCAGTCAGTGTAGCGACAGCGGATGTTTAATATCTTGCTCTTTGTTATCAAGCCACAAATTCATAACGTCACGAACTCACACTGACTCAACCTTCAACACACGAGAAAAGTTTCTTAAAAATTAAGATCACAACAACAAAAAACTTACAATTTTGGTAATTTCGCATTCCACATTGTATGACATGAAAATATAACGAATTATCAAAAGGACCGTCCACCACAAAAGTGGGGTGATGGCCTCACGTCAGCAAGTAGGAGTCCTACAATCCTCCCATGAGTCATCCCGCCACGCGTGCCAAGCTCAAGACGTTGACGGTTGTTCACTGAAGGTTTCCGGAATGACATGATCATCTGGGAAGTTGGCAGCGGTAAATAGAAGTGTTGTGACGTAATAAACACTTATAAAGAGTGATAATATGAACACTGAATCGAGAGTAGATTAAGCAGAAGACTACGTTCCTCACTGCATTACTGAGAATTTTAAACCTAAGGAAATTTAAAGATCCTATAGTTTCGTCGGACCTCCTTGTCCACCGTCTACCTCGTGTCATCTTGCAGGGCTCCACATCTCACATTCGAAAGCACATAATTCGTAGGAAAATGTCTGATACAGTTTTCTGTAGAGAGAGTCTCTGGATCTGCTCCTAATGTCTCAATTTTGATCCATTGGGGCACTCCGAATGCGGATCTGAATCCCTAATTCCTCACTACTGTCGGAAACAGTTATCGGTGAAACAACTGCTAACTTATACAGACACACTTTTAATTTGAATATTGTGATATTTTTGCATATACTGTAGATAGTTATCGATAGTATTTGGACTAATTCAATAGAATACCCTGGTATTGTATAAGTAAATAACAAAGGTTTACGGGTTTAAGTTACGTCTCACACACATACAATTAGATTCAAACCGTGTTGCTAACCTTATAATTCTGCATCAGTTGTTACTAAGAATAGTTCCAAATATCTGTTATACCATAGGATGATTTACTTTACCTGATGTTATGGCCACAAGCAGTGGCGGCTTGTCCATAAGGAAGAGAAGGGCTGCTGGGCTGCAGCACCCTACAAAGCTGCCAGACGTATGTTACATCTACTTCAATACCAGAATAAAAAAGTTTCATCCTTTATTTTTTAATGATTCAGTTAGAATGTTGTCTTCATTATATATTAACACTATTTTCATAAGAATAATACACCTAAACTTAGTTGACAACCATAGCAAGTTAGCAACTGTACGTTTTTTTTACGCATTTAGCGCCCGTGCTACACAAATATGGGCTGCAGTCTAGCGACTCCAGTCACCTGTGTTATATGTGAGGTGTATACTTTTTACAAGAGAAGATTTGTGTAAAGCAGTCTCATAGATGAAAGCCATCTACAGTCAACATTCTCAGAAACTGTAAAGCTTATCAAGATAATGATAACACCAATGACAACAGCTGAGGCAGAAAGGTGCCTTTCAACCTTGAAAATAATAAAAACTTTCTTGAGGAATACTATGGTGAATGACAGATTATCTGCTTTACCAATGATATCCATTGAAAATAAAATGATCACATAAATAAAGGATTTTAATGAAAAGTAACTAATCACTACTACACCAAAGAGCCGCCGCTTGGAGTTTATTTTCAAGTACTGTAATGCCCAGCTGGGCCCCAGAGTATTCACACAAACTTCAACTCAAACTGGACCCTAAGGTAAATAAAATAAAAAATATGTGTATCAAAGTTTTAAGAATTGCAACCCCTAATGCATTTTATCACGAGCCGCTACTGGCCACAGCACCAAACTCGATTGTTCCTGCAAATTTGCACTGAAACAAGACCAAGCCATGATTAAATGGGTCTTATTAAAAATTTGGACTGTTCCAATTTTTTTTAAGCTTGCATTAAGATAGTTTTTCGCACTGATTTAAAATGTAAATTTCTTGTTTTGCAGGAAATGTTTTATTTGTGACTTATAGGTCTATGAATCAAGTGCAGGCCAATCATGCTTTACATTAGCTCGTAAAATTTTGCCCTTTGTGACGCTGGCGTCACATAAACCGGCACAGGTAACCAAGATTTGTCGACGAGTACCTGCTTGTTGTTTCTGCGTTTTGTGTGTGTGTGTGTGTGTGTGTTTTTACGGGATTAGCCAACATCAGGGCCTGGGGGCGAAAACATTAATAATAATAATAATAATGATGATAATACAAATTAATAAATTATATTAAATATTAAATAAAAATATATTATAATAATATAATGTTAATAATAAAAAAAATCAAAAGTGAGAAACGATGTATGTATGTTGTGTTGTCAATAGTAAGAGAAACAATTGAGACCCTGCAATTGTGTGTAAATGAGGCAGAAAGTCAAATCAGCAACCTGACACTTTGTCACAATTTTCGTGATGCCATATGGCAGCAGGGTCTACCATTAGACAACACATTATGCTTCCAATATCTTCCCAGGCAGTAGTCCCTCCCTGTTTGATAGCTGCCTACAACTATTAAATTTTTTGGGTGTTTGCGCCCGTGCGTGGGTCAAGTTTCCGCTGTAGTTGACCGTTAGGTAGTTTGTATAGGTTAAGGTTAGGTTAGGTATAGGTTAGGTCATTCTTGTATAAAATATGGTTTGCATAGGTTAAGGTTAGGGTAGGTAGTTAACAATAACAAATTACTTCTCGCATGTAGCTGCAGAAGTTGATTGCGGTTGGGTGGTTCATGCCCAAACGCCAATGAAATGTTAAATATTTATTTCCGCAAAAAATGAGTTTCATACTTAGAATCAGCTTAAAAAACTGTAATAGTGACAATATTTTAATAAGATCCTATTAAGTTGCCTCAAACTTACCTACGCAACATAACAAAAGGATACTACGGTATAACTTTGGACTGGGCATCCTGGATCGCTGGGATGGTGATAATTCACTCCGTCATGGCTTTAGATGTCCTATTTGGAGAAATTATATTTTCTATATATCCTCGCACCATTTAAAATGAATACTGAGGTCAGGATGTTTAGAATAGTTAACTGCAGTTCAAGAACCATCGAAAATTGAACTGTCATTAGTACGTCTATCTCAGTCAGTGAGTGACCTTGGAAAATCTGTGTGGCCTTCAAACTGCTATTGGGCTGTTTTCCCGCGAATGTATTATGTCATATTGTGTTCTCCGAAACTATTTGGCTATAATTATTTATATTTGGTAATCTTACTAATTTACTATAAACTATTTTCTATTAACTTTTGGTAAATGGAAAAATTTTAGTTTAGGTGATAATTTTCTCACGACACTCAAGCAAAGGAGTTTGTGGAATTTGTTATTTTTTTCCACAAATTCCACAGTTGTTCTCTGGATATTAACAAATAAAACCATACAAATTTTTTTCAGTATTTTTCTGTCTACGATCATAGATCACCTATAATGGACAGGTCATGAACGATGAGGGAAATTACGGGGTAAAACACGGCGAAAATTTTATCACGAAGCACTAAAATCATGTCTCCATGTTCGCAGTCATATTTCCCGTCTTTGCTGACGGCTGTGTAATATTTCAATGTGATTTTGATCTTTTAAAGTGTGGTTTTTGCATAATGTAGTATTACTGATACGTAATTTGTCTTAGTATGCCCTATTGTGGGTAAAAATAAGTATATATTAAATACATCTTCCGAAAGCTTGAATTTGCTACCAGAGTTTAACAATTAATTCATGTATAATACTTCTGATAAACTTCCTACGTGCTTATGTTTGAAATAATGAATGTTTGTATCATTATATAATTTAGCTAAATATCTTACCTCGTCAGAAACGGTCACTCTCAACGATTATGAATAAACTCATTTAGAAATACTGTGGGGTTTCGAGATGTTGGTTCACACTCAGGATGGGTTGGAAAAAGGAAACTCACAATGCGCTCTCTGAATACATATTGTATTGGATGTTCAGTGCAGCTTGGTGCTGGGAAGTGGCAGCGTGGTTACAAGCGTGGAGTAGAGAGAGCTGGTTCGGGATCGTGCTCAGAGGAGGTGTTGCTTGCTGCTTGGATGTAGGTAGAAGAAGAAGGGGCAGGTCACGGCGAGGTGAGGTGAGGTCTTATATAGCGGAGGTAGGCGTGGCTTGATAGTTGACCTCCGCCTAACTAGGCGGCGCTAGTAGCCGACCTTAGACCACGAGGCGTTGGCTGGGGAAATCGAAAAGGGGTCAGCTAGTCAGCGACAAACGGCAGTTGTAGTTTACTTCAGGACAAAATCGGACAGGTTTGCAACAGCCAATCAGCTGTAACTCTTGAGGAGGGGTCGGGTCATCTTTTCTCAGCTGATAAAAAATGCACTGTAATAGGTCCTTCAAGAAGGGCATTTAGATATCTGGATGGTCCGTCACTCGTCACGATCTTCAAGAGTGAGGTGCTTCCCTGTCTGGAGTATTGTCATCCCGTCTAGTTCCCGAGGTATGATAGAGATTGTCAATTGATTGAAAATGTCCAAAGGAGGGCCACCAGACTGGTGCCTGCAAGTACCTAGCTTATACTACAGATGGGCAAGGGGTAACCTAATCGAAGTACAGTGTCTCAAAAGTCCCCATACTCAAAGTTTGGCAATTTATAGTAGTTTAATGGCTAACGATAGCCATCCACGGTTTCACGCGGCGCATGCTGGCAACATCGCAGAAAATTGCTGAATGTACTGGTAACGTGACTTCGCGCATGAGCGGGTAGAGGGACGTAATTGCGACTCAGTTGACAATGAATCTTTAGTGGGCACAGGGGGTAGCTATGTTGGAGGCGTACTTTGAGTGTAAATCTTATCAACGGTGTGTTGAATTCTTTAGGAGATTCCCTGATAGCCTGACACAGTGTAAGGCTACTGTTTATGAACTGGTGAAACGTTTTCGTGACACAGTAAGTGTGAGACAGACCAAGAACCTGACGGCGGTCAGTAGTGACACTAAGAGTTTGTTGCAATCTCCCCGTAAGTCATTGCGTAATTTGTCACAGCAAGTGGGATCATCTCGTTCAGCCGTTCACAGGGCTGTCAAACGTTTAAAGTTACGTTCATACAGAGTCAGGGTAGTGCAAG